TTGATATTCAAGTGATATGGCGATATGCCCTTTCACTTTGAAACAGATATTTTAACTTTTGTGGGCACTTTACACGAAATCCCTGGATATTTTGAAAATAAATAAACACTCCGTCTTTGATTCAATTTTGTTGTTGGATAGTGTGCTGGACGTTCAAGAGGATGGTGCCGGTCTCATTTTCGTTAAAATATCTGATTTTTAGAAAATTGTAAATGTTTAATTTTTTCGGCATTTTCCTGCAACTAAAATAATGAAGATATACGTTTTTTGCCTACATAAAAATGTCTTCATCAGAAAATCTTTAAATAAGGTCATGCTCAATTTTTCAAAAAACATTTAAAACAATTTAAAACAATTTTTTCTCGAGAACAATACTGAAGTTTTTCTTTATTTTTCTTGTATGTAGAAAAATAGGATAAATAGAATTACGCTGATCTCATTTTCATCCAACTCTCTGTATTTTCGAAATTTGGAAACAAAAAATTCACGTTGCAAAAATACGTGTAACGTACAAAATGTTTTTGTTACATGAACTCTGATCTAAAAAATCAGTTCTTTAAAACATGTCACGTACAATTATTTTAAAATATGAGTACTTCAGCGTAATTTGACATTTTGAAACTGAATTTACGAATTTTCCGCGCTTCGATTGACAAGCTGTCAGTGTGAAATACTTTTGAATTCATCTCGTTATAGAACGTACATGAAACCATTACGAGGCTTTTTTCATTTATTTATATTATTTTCTAACGTCAAAAGCAGTAAAAAACAGTGTGTGACGTACTTTACGCATGGGAAATGCATTCCGCGAACGGTTTCTAAAATCGTTTGTACTCTAATCCATTTTCGTGTTGAATTCTGAATACGAGTGGAAACAAACGTTAGTTCCACGATTATACTTCGATTTATTCATAGCGTCCTTTTCTCGCTCATCAGCTGTTGCAGGGTTTTCCAATCGGGTGGTTCACCTTAGTGACGTCATTGTAGTAATGTCCAAGTTACACTTGGATGACACCGGAACAGCTGAAATACGTCAAAGGACTCTGTTTTGAAATCAATCTATAGTTACGAGAATTTGAAATAATGTTTTTAGATGTGAAAACGTATTATGAGAATTTAGCATTACATGTTCCGACGAGGAGTAACGTATGATTCGTGTTAAAACTAGTATATTTATAGAATATTACAATACTGTAAAATGTAATAATTACTATTAGATATTTTTCGATAAATTTACATTTGTTTGCCAACGCTGTCAGTGTTACTGCTTTGTCAAATTTACATGCCAACCGTCCAATAATTACTAGGATAGGTAGTAAGAAATTTTCTATCGAAGAACCACCGTTTTCTTTGCAGCCATATTGTCTCTATACTACGTTAGTAATACGCGAGAAAAAACATTACTGGTTGAAAATATCCTAGCAGCGTCACGTGGTATTGCCATATTGCGTAGCCTTTACAAACAATACAAAAATAATGTGTTGTTGCGGTAGCGCAATTTTTTATGTGACCTAATTTCAAGGACCGTCGTAGCAAATATTTCTGTCACATCGTTTTCGTTTTACAGAACTCATGTTTGTTTCGGAATGCCCGATATTAAATACACTTGGTCTTCCTCGGCAGCTGACCACGGACACCGTGTTCGCGCACGCGGTCACCCAGACCGCCCGCGCGCACGCCCGCCTGGGCGCGCCGGTCTACCTGTTCGAGTTCGCGTACGTGGGGCGCCTCAACCTCCTGGGGCCGCTGTTCGGCTCGCAGCGCGTGCCGGGCGCGTGCCACGCCGACGAGCTGGGCTACCTCTTCCACGTGGACCGCCTGCCCGCCGTCGAGCCCGACAGCCCCGAGGCGCGCGTGCGCCGGCGCATGGTGCGCATGTGGGTGGACTTCGCTCAATCCGGGTGAGTTCACAGACTCAATGCACTCAGTTGATGTGCGCATGTGGGTGGACTTCGCGCAGGCAGGGCGAGTTGACAGACTCAGTGGTGCGCATGAGGGGGGACTTTGCGGTAGCAGGGTGAGTTGACAGACTCAATGGTGCGCATGTGGGTGGACTTCGCTCAATCCGGGTAAGTTCACAAACTCATTTCGCTCAGCGCATGTGGGTGGACTTCACGCAGGCCGGGCGAGTTGGCAGACTCAGTGATGCGCATGTGGGTGGACTTAGGACTGTGAGGGTTACTCAATGGTGTGTACATGTGTGCATGTGGGTTGACTTCGCTCAATCCGGGTAAGTTCACAAACTCATTTCGCTCAGCGCATGCGGGTGGACCTCACGCAGGCCGGGCGAGTTGGCAGACTCAGTGATGCGCATGTGGGTGGACTTAGCACTGTCAGGGTTACTCAATGGTGCGTTCATGTGCGCATGTGGGTGGACTTCGCGCAGGCAGGGTGAGTTCACAGACTCAGTGGTGCGGGGAGGGGGAGGGGGAAGTGAGGCTGAGGGGGAGG